AAAAAAAGCAGTGGGCCCAGCACCTATCCTTGCAGCACACTGCTGGTCACAGGCCTCTGATCCCAAAAGCAACCCTCCACCACCACCCTCTGTCTCCTACCTTTGAACCAATTTTGTATCCAAATGGCTCATTCTCCTTGTAGTCCATGTGACCTAAACTTGCTAACCAGTCTACCATGCAGAACCTTGTCAAATGCCTTACTGAAGTCCTTAGAGACGTCCACTGCTCTGCCTTCATCAATCTTCTTCATTACTTCTTCAAAAAAACTCGATCAAGTTCGTGAGATACGATTTCCCATGCACGAAGCCATGTTGACGATCCATAATCAGATCTTGCTTTTCCAAGTACATGTAAATCCTGTCCCTCAAAATCCCCTCCAACAACTTACCCATCACTGATGCCAGGCTCACCGTCTATAGTTCCCTGGCTTTTCCTTACCACCTTTCTTAAATAATGGCACCATGTTAGCCAACCTTCAGTCTTCTGGTACCTCCCGCCCCCACCCCCCACCCCCGCTGTGGCTATCGATGATGCAAACATCTCAGCAAGGGGCCTAACAATCCCTTCCTTAGCTTCCTAAGCTTCCTACTAAGTTCTAGAGTACACCTGATGAGGTCCCAGGGATCCACCTTAATGCATTTTAAGACGTCCAATACCTCCCCTTCTGTAATATGGATACTTTAAGGTATCTTAGTGTCAGAGAATCATACTGCATGGTAACAGGCCCTTCTCTCCAACCAGTCCATGCTCAGCATAACCCCAAACTAAACTAGTTCCACCTGCTCCTGGTCGATATTCCTCCAAACCTTTCCTATTCATGTACTCATCCAAACGTTTTTTAAACGTTTTAATAGTACCCATATCCACCACTTCTTCGGAAAGTTCATTCCAAATGCAAACCACCTTCTGTGTAAAAAATTTTCCCCATCATGTCTTTTTTTTAAATCTCTCTCCTGTCACCTTAAAAAATATATTCCCTCTTCTTGAAATTCCCCCATCCTTGGAAAAAGACACCTATCATTAACCCTATCTATACCCCTCATGATTTTATAAACTCCTATAAGGTCAGCTCACAAGCTCCTATGCTCCAGTGAAAAACAACCCATCCTATCCAATCTTTCTGTATAACTCAAACCTTCTATACCCAGCAACATCCTGGTAAATCTCCTCTGAGCCTCCTCCTTCTTATAACTGGGTGACCAGAACTGGACTTAGCACTAAGAGGCCTCACCAATTGTCATGTACAATCTCAACATGAATTCTGAACTCTTATAACTCAAAAGACTGGGCAAAGAAGGCATGCATTCTAAATGCCTTCACAACCACCTTGTCTATATGTGATGCAAACTTCAAAGAATGACGTACCTGAACTCCTAGATCCCTCTGCTCTACAATACTACCAAGGCCCTACCATTAATTATACAAGTTCTACCCGTTTGTCGTGCTAAAATGCAATACCTTGCATTTATCCAGATTGAACTCATCTGCCATTTTTCAGCCCATTGATCCATTTGATCAAAATCACTTTGTAATCTTAGAAAATCTTCTTCACTGTCTACTCTACCACTTTGGTGTTGTCTGCAAACTTACTAGCCATGTCTTCTATATTCTCATCCAAATCATTTATATAAATGACCCATCAAAACGATCCCTATGAAACACCGTTGGTAACAGGCCTCCAGTCCGAAAAAAATCACTCTACCACCACTCTCTGTCTCCTGCCATTAAGCCAATTATGTATCCAATTGGCAAGCTCACCCTGAATCCCATGTGACCTAACTTTACTAATTAGTCTACCATGCGCAATCTTCTCAAAGGCTTTACTAAAATCCAGGTAAACATCTACTGGGAGATAGCAAGAACTGCAGATGCTGGAAGTCAGAGTCAATACAGTGGAACTGGAGGAACCAGTCCTGATGACCTAAAACATCGACTTTCCTGCTCCTCTGATGCTGCCTGAACTGCTGTGTGCCTCCAGCTCCACACTGCATCGAAACAATGTCTGCTGCTCTCATCGACCTTTTTGATAACTTCCTCAAAAAACACAACCAAATTTGAGAGACATGATTTTCCTCACACAAAACCATGCTGACTAACCCTATTCAATTTTTGCTTCTCTAAATGTCCATAAGTCCTGTCTTTTAAAATCACTTCCAACAATTTACCCACAACCGAAGTAAGACTCACAGGTCTGTAGTTCCCCAGTTCCTCCTTATAACCCTTCTTAAACGAAGGTATATTAGCCACCCTTGAGTCATCAGGCACCTCACCCGTAGTAATAAATGATGCAAATATTTCTGCAAGTAGTCTGGCAATTTCCTTCCTTACTTCCCACATTCTGGGACACACTAGATCAGGTCCTGAAGATTTATCGACCTTTGTATTCTCTAAGACCTCTAGAACTTTCTCTTCTGTAATGTGAACTGTTTTCAAAACTTCAATATTTATCTCCCTGCATTCTCTAGACTCCATTTCAGTAAAAACTGAACCGAAATAGTCATTTAGTACCTCTCCCATTTCCTGGGGTTCAACACAAAGATGACCTCCTTGATCTTTAATGGGCCCTATCCTCCCTCTAGTTACCCTCTTACTCCTAATGTAGTTGTAGAATCTCTTTCCATTATCATTAACCTTATGTGTCAATGCTATCTCATATCCCCTCTTTGATTTCTGATTTCTTTTTTATGAATGCCCCTATACTTTCTATATTGATTAAGAGATTCAATTGAACCAAGTTGTCTATATCTAAAATAAGATTTTCCTTTATTCTTGACTGGAACCTCAATATCTTTATTCATTCATTGTTCCTTAATCTTCCCAGCCTTACCCTTTAATCTAACATGAACATAATGCTTCTGAACTCGTCATCAGGCTCTTGAAAGCCTATCACTTGTCAGACTTCCTTTTTACCAACAGTCTACTGTAACTGACTTTTGAAAGTTCTAGTTTCATGCTATTAAAATTTGCCTTACTCCAATTAAAAACATTAACTTTTATGGAAGGCCTATCCTTTTCCGTAAACATTTTGAAACTAGTAAAATTATGATTGCTTGACCCAACATGTTCCCCAAATATTGCTATTTGTTTCCCCAAGTTCTCTAGCTTCCATATCCTTCTCTGCAGTAAAATGAAAAACGTTAGGACCCTGGAAAGCACTAAGGATCAGAGGGACCTTGGTGTGCGTGTCCACTGGCCCCTTAGGAAAAATGATAGGTAATATAGTGTTTAAGAGGTCATAAGGTATAGTTGCCTTTATTAGCCAAGGCTTAGAGTTAAGAAGTAGGGAGGATATACTGGAACTGTGTAAAACATTGTTTAGGCCACAACTAGAATATATGTGCAATCCTGGGATCCATATTATAGAAAGGATGTGGTTGCACTTGGAGAGTGTACAGAGGAAATTTACCAGGATGTTGCCTGGGCTGCAGAATTTCAGTTATGAAGAAATATTGGACAGATTGGAATTCTTTTCCTTAGTGCAGGAGACAATGATAGGAGACATAATTGAAATGTATAAAATTATGAGGGGCATAAATAAGATAGACAGGAAGAAACTTTTCCCCTTAATGGAGGGATTAATGAGCTAGGGGGCATAGATTTAAGCTAAGAGGTGGAGGTTTAAAGAAGATATGAGGAATCTCACTGTCTGTAAGGATAGTTAAGGGTTTCTGCCTTGACTTTTAAAAAGTACTTAGATGTGCATTTGCGATGCTAAGACTTACAATGCTATGAGCCAAGTGCTGGGAAACCTGATTAGCATAATCAGTGGTTGTTATTGACCAACACGAATTCAGTGGGTGAAGAGCCTTTTTCTACGCTGTACATCTCTATGAGCTCCAGCTGCGAACTGTGGTTCGCCAGTAGCTGTAACTGAACATGCTTCTTGCACGTGATCATCAGGGACAACTGAGGCTTCCATGGTTTGTCATGTAGAAAAAACATGAGTGTGAGCTCTGCTCTCATGACTTCTCTTAAAGACTATTAATTACTCCCTTTCTCTAAAATTTTTAAAATCACAAACCAATCAACCCACCTGTGATGTCACTGATTTCTGTTTTCCCAAACAGAAGTCCTCCGAAGCTGCTGCTGCTAAACTGTGCTTCCTCTCACTGCTGCGATGAAGCCGAACTGCTTGTCCCCCGATCCTAGGCCTCATAATACAATCTTGCTGCTTCCCCTCTCACTGCTGTGGTGAGGTGTACCTCAAGTGGGATTCCATTCACTTTTCTGGTCCTCATTAGAATGATCATTGAACCTTTGGGTCACTTTGTTCAGTTTGAAGAAGGCACATTCCTGCTGCTCACTTCTTTGATCACTTCCACCCACGCTTGTTTGATTTGAGATCTTCTTTCTCCCACTCATGGGATATAGCACTTGATTGTATTCCTTTATACAGTAAAGCGTTAATAGTCGCTATTGAGCATTTGCACAAGAAGCCATTGCTATAATGATGTTAGAAGAAGATGGAACTGGCTCTGGATAGGTTCTCTCCTACCCTCTCTCATGCACTGTATGGAGTTTAGTACAACCTGTCAATGTTCATTTACCTGTGCTTAAAATTAAGCCCATGAAATTAATTTAGAATTCAACATTTTGACTCCTACAATAGTCTGTTTAACTAGGGATCCTTCCATTGATAGAGAAGGTAACAATCACTCCTGCATTCTATGACAAGTCAGGAAACCAAGAGTGGGATACTAATATCATGCCTGAGTAAAACAGCTATGACAACCTCACCTTCTCTGACAATCTGGTTCCTGACTGGATTTTCAGTTCCATTAAAAATTTTGCCTGTTGATTCAAATTTTGTATTTAATACAAGTAAAACTTGTTCCTGGCCCTCAGAAACCAACCTGTACTTTCCTAGTCATAAATATCTAACATGATGGGCTTTGTCCAGTCCATTTTTATCTATGTGTAGTCAGAGAGAATTAATTAGAGATGTGTTAACCTAGCAGTTACATAACTGAAAATTCAACTAAACATCCTTTTCCGATAGGCATTTGAAAAATGGAAAGAAGAGAAAGATATGCATCAGATGGAAAAGCTTAAGAAACAAAAAGAAATTGAAAAACAGAAGAAGAGAAAAGAAAAGGAAGAAGTAACTGAAAAGAAGAAAGAAAATGTTGCAGCATTAACTAAATGGTAGGCAAATTGCATCCTTGCAAAACTGTATGTTCAGGCCCATACAGATTACATTTGTTAAATTCATGCTATTATCTGCAAATTATTCTATTACATTGAATATTTCTCATACATTAGATATTTACAGAGACCCCCCCCCCCAACAACCCCCAATATCCATAGGATTATTCCCCTGCACAGAGATTTTCTCTACTGTTTTTTGCTAGGATTGCTGCAGTTAATGAGTTGCATCATGAGTTTAGATTTTGCTTCAGAGCACAAGCATGAAAAATTTAAAATTGTTCATTGTGTCACTATTCTCTGCTATGAGTCAAAAATGGGAATTCTGATTCTGAAATATTTTGTGCTTCCATCTTGTGGATTCGTTATTGTCAAATGACTTGGCACTCTACTCACAATGTTTCCATGAGTTGCTCCTGGTTTGTAGCAGTTCTGCTGGATGTTCCATCACTAGGCCATTGTTGACCTGGTGAGGCTTCATCCCTTAACACTAAGTAAGAACAAGCAAGACTGCATATTACTGACACTTCTCATAAGTTGGTTGACCTAGTCAGGCTTCACACCCTACATCATAAGCACTTGCGCAAAGCAACAGCTTGATGATTAAGAAATCAATTCATTGAAGAAATTTTTACTCAGCAGAGTTCGGAGGAAGAAGTCTCCTGCCAGGTACACACCTCAGATATATTTGGGGTTATGAATATGTTACCCATATTTGCCTAACAGTGTTGTGCCTACAAATGTAATTTCTGCAGGTGGTAGTCATGGCATGCTAATGAAGACACAAGAGGTTCCCAACTGTTCAAGAGGGATAGGCTGACCCATCTGAAAACATAATATGAAAACTTTAACCCACCATCTTGAAACAGAATATTTGCTGCCCACCCACTGAAGTTTCCTGGTTCTCCTTCTAAAAACTTCATATGGGCCTGCAAGATTCCTTCCAATGACTTATGTTCCATGCTATTTTATTTTATAACAACTTAATTGTTTGTTTTTTCCAAAAAAGATTAAAGCATGAACCTGAAATTTGTGAAGAGGTAAATAATTATCATTTCCATGCCAGAGATGTAACATGTTCCTTATCATTTCCTCACTGTTCAAGGCCCCAAACGTTTCATGGTGAAGTAGCAATTTGTGTGTATCTATTACATTTAGTATTTTGTAATCACAACTTACAGCGTAGAGTCCTCTGCACTGGGGAATCCTAATGCTGATTGGGTGATTGTTCTGTAGTCCAGTTCTCAAGCACGACTTAAAGTGTCTGGAGACCTGTGACGTTAATTCCCCATCTTGCTTTCATGCTCACATCCTTGGCTTATAATAATGTTCCAATGAAACTCAGTACAAGTCTGAGGAACAGCAGTTCATCTTTTGATTAGGCACTCACAGTATTCTAGACTTAACACGGAGTTCAATCATTTTGACTTTTAACTCATTTTTATTCCTTTCTTTGCACACTTAAGTTTCTCTTTACTTACTTATTTTTGCTTTAAAATAATAGCATGACTGTTCTTGGTACATCTTTTGTTTCCTTGTTTCTTTACACGCCAGTTTGGTCCTTTCAGACCAACATTTTCGTCATTCAAATTCTTCTGTCTTCCATCTTTCTTTCAATTTACCCAACCATTCTTTGATCAAAATTATTCATGGTTGTTTCATGAATGAAAACTTGCTACTTCCAGAAGCCAGGCAGATTAATTGAATATGAGGGAGGCCAAAATTATGAATCCCAACGGTGGAATGGACTTTAGCAATCCAATTCTGAGAACTTCAAAGGTAGATTAAACTTCCTGATTGCTAGCATCAGGAGGCTCTTTTACATTTGTACTTGGATCTCATCGATGCTCATTGAAAGACCAGCTCACTAGAATTACGTTGCCATTCGTAATGAAGTTCTCAGCAGGTGAGAAATATCTTCAGATTGTATATAATTGGCTTTCAGCTGGCAAAGACATTTAGGGCCGGTAGACAGCCAAGGGGAACACATGCTAAAGTATAAAAGATTAGCATGGGCTTAAAGGATCAGAAGTAATGGAGAAGCTTCAAAGACTATGCTAACAAGATGGACTACTGCTGCGTGTTTGCTCATCATCTCAATCTGTAGAAATGACAGCACAGAACAATCCTGTCATCCTTCCTGACATGAAAGTAATGAAGTTACAGAATATAATGTAGAATATCCTTTATTGTCACGTGCACTCCAATGTAGAAGTACAGTGAAAAGCTTTTACAATGGCTGCCTCTTGCGGCAGCATGTTAGGTACAAGTACTTCAGTACAAGTACCTAGGTACAAATCTTGGATACAACAGAGGAATAAGAACGAGTTCAAAAAATAAGTTAGAAATAAGATATTGTTCAATGATTGACATTACAATTAGGTAAAAAATTTTGAATAAACATTACATTGCTGCAGCTCAGCACAGGGCGTCTGCACGTAGTCTGACCGCCCACACCAGACTCCAGTCCAACAGCCGTTCCTGCTCTGCTCCAAGCCTCCGTACCAGCACTTAGCTGCTCCAAGGTAAGTTCCAGGACTGCCTCCCCACTCCTGTTTCTACCCGGGAATTGCTCCCCTCACGCTGTTCTGGAACTCGCTGCCCACGTGCTGCTCTGGGATTCGCGGCCCATGCGCCATTCTGGGGCTCGCTGCCCACACTCCGTTCTGGGGCTTATTGCCCATGCTGTTCGGCAGCTCGCAGCCCACGCACTTGTTCCAGGGCTCGCAACTCATGCGTGGAGATAGAGCCGGAGACTGAGCTGGTACAGGCACAATTGGTGGAATGGCTTCCTTCTGTCCTGTAAAATTCTATGCTCTATGGTCCATATGAAGAGGAAACAGTGCCGAAGGGTCCAGAGACAGGCCAGATACAGCAGCCAAAACACTGGATGTTACTATCCAGGAGCCAGTGCAGCACCATGCATTTGTATCCCTCTATTCCCATCCTATTCATGTATTTGTCAAGACGGCCTTTAAAAGTCACAAAGTCAGCACTTGAGTTACCTGTGGATTAGAGACCATCCAAGAAGTACCACAGGATCTTCCAGAAAGTGAATATTCTCAGGTCCAGCTACTCAATGAAAGCTGCTTTCAGCAAGGACTAGGATGCAATCCCATGCTGGTGGCATCAAAGTTGATAGCAGCCCTAAACTTCTTAGCTGGAGGCTTCATCCAAGTCTTACTGGGAACCAATGTGAATTTTCTCTGCCAGCCATCCACAGCGCTTCCCTCACTGTTATGGGGCTCGCTGCCCATGTGCTTCTCCGGCATTCTCTTCAGAACATCTGATTTTTCTGAAATTTTATGTGGATCCAAAGAAACAACCAGTGAGTGCAACAGGCTTTGCTGCAGTTTCTTGATTTCAAGTACAAGGAACATAGGGACATTGAAACAGGATGAGACCTTTCAGCCTGTCGAGCCTTCATTGCCACTTAATACAATAATGGCTCACGGAACACGTCAATGCCTTTTACCCTCATGAACCCCATAAAAGTTTACACCATTGGGATTCAGAAATCTAACAATTTCTATTTTAAATATACTCAGAGTCGGAGCTATCACAGCCCCAGTGAAAAATACTCTGCACATCTGTTCCTCTTAGAACAAAGAAAATTACAGTACAGGAATAATCCCGTCGGCCATCCAAGCTTGCACCGACATGCTGCCCGTCACAACTGAAACCCCCTCCCCTTCCAGGGACTGTATCCCTCTATTCCCATTCCTATTCATGTATTTGTCAAGACGCCCTTTAAAAGTCACTATAGTATCTGCTTCCACTACCTCCCCCAGCAGCGGGTTTCAGGCATCCACCACCCTCTGTGTAAAAACTTTTCCTCGTACATCACCTTCAAACCTTGCCCCTCGCAACTTAAACCCATGGCCCCTGGTAACTGACTCTTCCACCCTGGGGAAAAGCTTCTAACTATCCAGTCTATCCATGCCCTTCATAATCTTGTAGACCTCTATCAGGTCACCCCTCAAACTCTGTCATTCTAGTGAGAACAACCTAAGTTTCTCCAACCTCTCCTCATAGCTAATGCCCTCCATACCAGGCAACATCCTGGTAAATCTTTTCTGTATCCTCTCCAAAGCCACCACATCCTTCTGGTAGGGTGACAAGCAGAATTGAACACAATATTCCAAATGCGGCCGAAGGTTCCATAAAGCTGCAACATTACCTGCCAATTTTTAAGCTCAGTGCCCCGATCAATGAAGGTATGCATGCCATATGGCCTGTTAACTAACTTTTCCACCTGCGTTGCCACTTTCAGCAACCTGTGTACCTGTACACCCAGATCCCTCTGCCTATCAGTACTCTTAAGTGTTCTGCCATTTGCTGTATATTTTCCATCTGGATTAGACCTTCCAAAATGCATTACCTCACATATTCCCAGATTAAACTCCATCTGTCATCTCTCTGCCCAAGTCACCAACCGATCTATATCCAGCTGTATCCTTTGACGGTCCTCATTGCTATCCGCAATTCCACCAACCTTTGTGTCATCGGCAGACTTACTAATCAGACCAAATACATTCTCCTGAGGAACGCCACTCGTCACAGCCCTCCATTCAGAAACACACCCTTCCATTGCTATCCTCTGTTTTCTATGACCGAGCCAGTTTTTATCCATCTTGCAAGCTCACCCTGTGTGACTTTATCTTCTGTATCAGCCTGCCTTGAGGGACCTTGTCAAAGGCCTTACTGAAGTCCATGTAGTCAACATCCACTGCCCTACCCCTCAATGATCATCTTCGTCACTTCCTCAAAAAACTCAATCAAATTAGTGAGGTCCTGAGTTCTCAGCAAATTACAATTGAAAGCTTCCCATATACCATATGTTGACTTGCCCTCAAACATCTGCCTCCAATCTACATTGTTCAGTTCCTGCCTAATATTGTTGTAATTAGCCTTCCCCCAGTTTAGCACCTTCACCTGGCAACTACACCTATCTTTATTCATCAATACCTTAAAGCTTACCAAAGTGGCTAGCGTCATAT